ATTGTACTCCTCTTGTCCAATCAGGATGGAGTAATTTTGTTGAGTGTAGTATAAGAACACGACTTTGGAAAGACATTAATTTTAAGCTGTATAGCTGTAATGTAAAATAAAAAAATGAATTCACCCTGGGATGACATTAATTTTAATGGCCCCCCCCCCCTCAGTGATTTTAACTTTTTGAACTATTCAAATATTTGGAATGTTTTTCAAGTCGTTTTAATTATTCCAGTTATCTGAAATTTAAATACTAAACACCACAAAGTCTGACGTTGATACCAATATCAGACACTATCAGAGTTTTCCTCTATAGCATCTTTATTAGAAAATGTAGGAAAACTAGCTTGGAAATCAAATAAGAAGAGGTGACTAGCTAAAAACTAGTGTGAGCTGCGTCGGTGTTTCTAATGAAACAGTAATGATAAAAGGGTAAATAATACACGGTGAAAAGATGAAAAAACGTACTGACATTTCAGACGCTTTGTCAGTTTTTTCATCTTTTCACAGGTGTATAATTTACCCTTTTAACATTATATTGGAAATCAAATAGCAAATACAGCAGGACCATAAATGAAAAAAAATCTAATTAATTCAGGTTATTATTGCTCAACACTAATGCTAGTCCATGCACTAGTGCGAGACTAGTAAATCTTTGCTCCTGGCTAGTAGTTTACTCTGCTGGGCTACTGGGATTATAGACAAGCTAGGCCACTGCCTAGTTTTAAAAAAGTTAGTGTTGAAAGCTGGTTGCTATGGATTTAATTTTTTATTTGATTATACTTTATGATTTATTTAATGTACTGTATGTACTTTAATTATATGTACTGTAATTGTACTAAATGTATGCTAGGAGGATGGGATACTCTCAAGCTTGAGAACCAAAGAGAAAATCAGGATCCCTTTTACTTTTTCAAATGCCCTCCAAAAATCCCACATAGAGAAAAAAAAACCAATTTAAAACTCAAAAATAAAAAGTATAGCAGTTTGTTTGAAATAATTGAAATCAATACTTGCACTGTTTTCTTTGTACTTTGTCTCTAACCTAACATATAGCCTGCTGTGCAAGTAGATAACGAATGTGTTCGCTCGATACAGTTATAGCTCTCATTTGTCTGTACTGTTGTAATTGCCTAGGAGGTAGGTTAATTTAAACCTAAAGAAACTACAGAGGAATAAAAAATTTCTATCACATTCTGAAATAACCATCTAGGCTGATCAAAATCAGAGCATGGCTAACTCACAGATCAATAGGTTTTGCAAGGTGAGGAAAACCACAGAGCATTATTAAAAGAGCATTATTAAGGAGAGACCTAGCAGACTTATGCTAAGCCAGGAATAAAGAACCAGAGACCTAGAGAACTTAGAAAATCGTCAAAGCACAGAAAAGAACAAACTCTACTCGCATGACACAGACAAGTACCATCATTAATTATGAACAAACTTGCTCCACTAGTACTTCTACGTATGTTATTGTATCAATAGATCTTCAATCAACACCAACAACAGAAAAACATAATACAATAATGCAAGAACAGGAACGAATAAATATATACCTACGAGCGAATAATTCCTCTCTTACTTCATAAACGATTAAAACAAATCTTCTTCAGAGATACGATTAAAAAGCTTAATTACATTGTCTTTAAAAATGAAAAAATATAATTCGTTGTGATTAATAAGCCTATCTAAGAGACGTCTCGATCCGGCTCAATAAATGGCTGAAAAAAATGAGAATTCTCGAGAAATATTTACGAAACAGTAAGACTTACCTTACAAAAATTAATAGCGTCCACCAAAGAGTTGATAAAGTCACTGTAAAAATCATGACTGATAACCAATAAGCCATCCTGTATCCCAGAAACAGCGCTCAAAGACCTCAAAAGATGCGAAAAATAATCTGGTCTATTGTGAACTTGAATAATTATAATCATCGAATTTTCATTTAATGGACTTGGGAATTTCTCGAAATTTTGAATTCTCTCTTGACTGTTTATATTTTGTATAATTTTACGGACTTTTTCAATGTCAATTGGTGGTTCAGTGCCTTTCTTGTCGCCTAACGAAGGCAGAATTAAATTAGGTGTGGGTAGAGCAACGTGTTTTTTTGAAGTTCTGGCTGCTAGAAAATTATTCGTAGTAAACTCTGAGGTTCGAGGTGAACTCAGTAAATCTGTAGGCAACGGGATATAATTAATACGGTGTTTTGGGTGCTGTTTAGGCAAAACACTCCCAAATTGTTTATCTTCATTCTGCACTGGCATAGCCAAAAACAATCCTTGTAGACGCATAAACATTACCATGCTTATAGTTAAGACTGCCAAAAACAATAACTTAAATGCAGAAGTTCGTATAATAGTTCCTCGGTATCTAAATGCCAACATTCCTCTTCCTGGTAACAGTCTTTTTAGCGTCCTAAACATCAGTAAATTGTAAAGATGAAGCTAGTAGAAAATCCAACGGAAGATATTTTCTTGAGAGGTTCGTTTGGAATCGGACGCAACGTGTTGGGTTTTGAGGCATCTGGAGTAAATCTTATCCTTCTACTTTTAGTTTATAAGCTGTTAGATTACCCGAGAGATCTTCATTGACCTTTCCACGTCATCTACACGGTAAAAGAATAAAAAATCAAGCGGAGAAAGAAGATGCATGTCCACTTCCCGCTACAGCGAACAGTTACCATGAAGTGTAGTGCGTGACGCGTCACAGGTTGTTACGTCATATTGGACTTGTCATCAAGATCTCGAAAGTATCCCGGATAGAAAACGGGGAATTTTGACGGCGCTTACAGTTTTCATTTATTATAACACATCCGCATACGTCCGCGAAAGTATTAATTAAACAAGAAGTTATTTTAAATTGTAAGAATAACGTGGACTACTAGTACGGATGTTTTGTACATTGCCTTACAATAAAAATTTGAGACTTGCTACCAAGAAGTAGTTCTAATCAAAATTCAGGGCTAGTTCATAGCACCTGCCCTCTTTCATGGATTACTGAATGTTCCCTGAACCATATCTCTTTTCTCTAAAAACGAGGCTATTTTTTGAAAAACAGGAGCTACAGAACGCGTTGTATTATGTGGCTGTTTAAGGGGATGCTTAAACGGGCGAATTTTGCAGCGATTTGATGTGCGATTTTTTGCGGCGTTTTCGGTCATAGACAAGAACAATAAAAGATAAACTTGTAAAGTTTTATTAAGGACACCAAGATTACGACCTGGACAAGTCTTCCTTCATAAACTATGCCTCTACCTACTACAGGCTTTCATATTATATTTTGTACAAATACACATAAACAGCTAAGTCTCTAATCAGTAGCCGAGCATCGGTAGGTAAAATTAAAACTTGATTCAAATTTTTCCGAGATGAATTACAACACACAGTAGCTCAAGGCCTCATTTGAATCAAGTTTATTYTACCTTTGTGCAAATAACTTATTGCAATTATCCATTCCGAGGTTGATGAAAAGAAACTGGGTTGAWTTAGCATTGCAATGCATTGTGGGACTGTTTTATGAGACTTATTTTGCGYCTATTTCGTCCCATAAGACAGTTCCAAAATACACTGCATTGCAAAGTCGACCGAGATTTTCCCTCAATCTCGAAATGGCTTACATGCTCACTACTTTATTCCACCCATTTAAAGTATCTAGRGCGCAATGCCAGATGGGAAGAAACAGTGGAATACCGCGCGAATATAAAACGGCTTTCCTGCATTTTGATTGGCTGAATTCTCAAGCTTGCGGTATATATTTAATCCCCAAAAAATTTCAGTACTACAGAACTTTGTGATTATTATATACGTGTCTAAAAAAGCTTGTTTGCTCACGGCTCAATCAAAATCAACAATATGATTGTGTTTGCTTTTCGCCTCTACTTTGCTTTAGGCGAAATACATTCAACATATACTGTATTCAAGAAATCCTGAWCTAAAGCGAACCAACAGAAATCATTGAGCTTTAAACGCTATTTACACTTGTCTCTAATAGCAATCGTGAAAACAGAGACAAAACTAAAGTAAAAGATAAACCAATGGCGACCAATGATAGCCTCATGTTCACGTGGAAACATAACGGTTTTTTCACATGTATGAGAGGCTAGTCGCCATATTTCGATTCGGTGTATACTGTATCTCCATTCGCTCTTACAACCTTAATTGAAATAACTCGTCAAAACACTGCAAGTCGGTCGTGTTCAAAACGATAAAGCATAGGWGCTGAGACCTCAAGCTATTATTGGAAAATATACATCCATGGTAATTATAGTCACATCAATGCAAAAGACTGGAAATAATTTCAAAACGGTCRACAGTCTCTTACCAAGAGCTCCTCGGTATCGTCCCTCCCCCGAAAAGGAACCATACCGAGGAGCTCTGGTACTGAGAGACTGAACGTTCAAGGGATTTTTCTAGACACCGAGCTACATAGCACATGCGCGATATTTTACACGAGGTACTGGTGCGCACGGCTGTCTAAGTCTTAAACGTCTTAGTTTCTTTTAGACGAAGAGCAAAATTGCCTTTGAAAAGGTTCTTCTTTCGTTTTTGAACGACCGCCTCAACCCRACTCGTGCTGAAGCCTTGCAGGTTTCATTCTTTACAGGCCGCACTGGGTGTCAATTGGYTTTGTGAAGACTTGTTGTCAGAAGATATGCAAGCAAGGGGATTTATRTGTCGAAACGAAGGGTTTCTGGGCTTAAGACTTAGGGTCTCGCTTAACCGACGTGAYAACCGACCCAGGCCACTACCCGATCTTTCGCGCGATGACATCATRAACGAGTTTGTGGCTTTGACCGAGGTCTTGACGCGCTTGGAGCGTAAAAACAACTTTCTGAAATCCCGACGAAAATTATCGCTCAACAGGACATAAATGATGGGGTTAAGCGCGCTGTTCAAGTGACCCATCCAGAAGGCAAAGAACGGGAACCATTTGGGGAGACGACGAAGGATATCACGCCTCTTGATAATGAAGTAATGCATCAAGTGAGTGGGAAACCAACAAACTGCAAACACAGCTAAGAGCGAGATGAGCATTTTGACAGCTCTGTACCTGAAGCGCATTGCTGCTTCCCGCGACGTTCCGTTTGCCTCTCCCGGGATGTGGCCACGAGCGAGCGTAAAAACGATAATGGAGTTGAGCCAGGCGACTAAAACCACGGGAAAAACATACAGAATGACGAAAAGCAGCGTGTAATGAATCTTCATGAACTTAGGCATTGCCTCATGTCCAAAATACATGGTACAGACCCACCCACCGTTTATATAGCGGACCTGGTACAATGCGACATAAGGGGACATGATTAGGAAGGACAATGCCCATATCCAGGCTGTGACGACTCGAGGCCTTTGCAGTAGCTTACGCTTAAACGGGTAGCAAATAGCAAAAAACCTACCACAGGATATGAATAGTATGGTGAGAATAGAAGCGGCGATGGTCACAAGAAAAGCATATTGTGATAACCTGCATGTTATCTCGCCTATCAAGCCCCCTATCCAAAGTCCTTTACGATGTAGGTACCCCAACGAGAGAGGTGTGATAATCAGCATAGCCAACAGATCGGCGAAGCACATGTTCATGATCAGTAGATTCATGGTGCTCTTGAAGCTGCGCCTGCGATACACCACCACAAGACCTAAAGCGTTGCCTGTGCAGCCAATCAGGAATGAGATGACGTATGCTGACGTCAAACCGTTGATCGCAGCTCTTGTCAACCCTTGGGAAGATGTCGTACCGTTAGAGCCTGAAAAGAAAACATTTCCCACGTAAAACTTGATTTATCGTCGGCATAAAAATTGATAAAATTTTTGAAACCAAAAGTCGTCGATCAGAGAGTTCAACCTTGTTTGAASAAAATCGTTTGAAACAGGAAATCAAAAACTTACAGAATCATAGTCATAATGAAAGAAAAACGATRGAATTTCTTTTAAATAATGATGGGTAAAGAGAAAAGTCATATCAAAATTTGATCGTAACTGCCAAGTTCAGAGTTTTCGTCTAAATTGAATCATAATAATAATGGAATATTAATATCTTTTATATCAATTAATATCAATTATTCTTCATTATTTTAATTAGAGTTTAATAGGAGATGATTGTTTTTGTAGAGGGAGGACTGAAACCTTTGGTCAAGTCAACAACGTAGAATACTCTCTTTTGGTTACCAAAAACCACCAATATAACAGATGGTTTTTCTCGTGCGTCAAAAGCTAATATTTACCGATTTTAATGGTTAATGAAAAGACACAACTTTTACACCCATAGGAATACATTTTCGAGATCAGAAATATTAAATTTCAGCCGAAATTATAAAAGAAACATACATTTAGTTTTAGTTTTTCACCAAGAGCAAAATAATAGGAACTGTAATATATCRTTTTTCTCTTTTTTGATATTTCCATCCCCCAGGCGTCGGTAGGTTGYCATTTTCTTCTCATACAGTAAATGATAATTGCGGTTTTCAGTTCCCATTATTTAGGTAGGATCTTTACGATCCTATTCCAGGTAGTAATCAAGGTTATATCCAGTATTTTCGTCTAGGATTTTGCAGTTTTTTTTAACACGAACTAAAAATAATTCACACTGACCTTGGGCAAAGCTGTTGTTCATGATGCTATCCTTTTTTCTTTTGATATTTCGTTATTGTCTCTTGTTTCTGTGTGATTCTTGATTCACTCTGGATGGCTGTTTAGCGGTACATTAGCTGGGCTGTTGATATAGAGATATAATGCGTATGAGAAAATCAGTCAGAAATTAGCAGATGGTAAATGAAGTTAGCGAGTGAAATGATGTCGTGAATGAGAAATGTATGATTGGGAGGATGGATGAATAGATAGAAAGAATAGATGGATAAATGGATGAGTAGATCGATGGATGGATGAATGGATAAATGGATGGGTAGATCGATGGATGGATGGATGGATGGATGGATGGATAAATGGGTGGGTAGATCGATGGATGGATGGAAGGATAGATGAATGGATGGTTAGTATAGGTGGATGGATAAATGGACAAAAGAATGCATAGGAAAGTATGAATAAATAAGTGGATAGAAGGATTGGAGATAAATAAGCGAAGGATGGGTAAAAGGATGAATAGTTGAAGGAAAAGAAAGATGGATGGGAAGAACGAAGGGAAAGCTAAATGAATAAGTGGATGGATAGCTGAATGGGATGGGATGGTAAAGGAAGGAAGAATGAATAAATGACAAAATAATAAACGACAAGAATAATGACAAATAACAAATAACAAAAGAAAAACTGTTTCGTACAGACTCYTGGATACAAAAAAATCTATACTTACAGCGCTGCCGAAAGCAACGAACAAAAGAAACAAAAAAGGAAAARGAAAAGAGATTCAACCGAAAACTTTTGGCGGCCTAATGAATAAATGGAAAATAYATAATCGTTTCACACCGCATTTTGTAACTTCAACCCCACTACACAAGTTATTTAGTTCACTTTATTACTTGCCTTGCTTGACCTTGAACACAAAATCTCGGCAGCAAGTTTGATTTCAACTTCAGAATCAAGGCTTAAATTTTACTCTACTGAAGACGCACTAAAATTAGGTTGTTCTCATCAGTACACGAACATTGTTGCAGTATATGCACTGAGCTTCTCGAGTCTTCTAAAACATTCCCAACTGTCCGTGCGTTAAATTAAATTTTTTGACTTTGAGAAGAAGTCAAGGTTGTTAAACAAATCATAATACGAAAGTATTTTTCAAAAGGTCCAAGAGTGGAAGGATGAATGAATGTCAAACCTCTTGAAAATGACAATAACATCAGCTGAATTAACAATGAAAAGTTTCATTTGGAAACAAATTTCGAGAGTCGAAATTTTTGGGTTTCGCAACACTCAAATGGCTTCCGCTGAGAACCAATCGAAAGCTACGAAAGTACAAACCAACCAATCATAACGCTTGACTTTCTGARAGCACTGTAAAGTACGTCTCTCACTTATATTAAATATATACTAATCAACGTTTAACAGCTGTTGATAAATTGGTAAAAACCACGGCAATCCAAAAAAAAGTTCTATTCAGACTGCTAATGAGAATGAACATTTTGAAAATGATGAATCCTTAATTAAGTTTTTCTTTGATTATGTGATATTGTTGTCATTATTTTTGTAAATCTTATCCAAACAACTGATTTTAAGTTAATATTCTTAAATTTACTAATTTTACGTTTTAGAAAAGGAGCGAGTGTTTGAAAAAGAGGAAAGATTGAGAAAAAGGATTGGAAAAGAAAAAACTGTGAGTGTTTCTACCTTTGAAGATCTTTCTTTTAACGCAATTGTCTTTCAACAAGTGGGAAKACATCAAAAAGCAGTGTCCTCGAATARCTTTATATATAAAGAATAATCTACKATAATAACAYCGTGTTCAGATGAATCGAAAGATCCAGTCCCCGATGCCAAAGATCTTGATTTATTTGCAATTACAGAGGACTAAGCTAAGTCRCACGAGCACCCGTTATTTATACCAACCAATAAGGATTAGATAATAAGATAGAACATTTCAATTTGTTTTTCTCGATTTAATAACCATCTAGCAGTGATTGTTAGGTTATGATAAATAGATTGTTAAGATTATTAGAGCGATTAAGATTAAGATTATTAGTGTGTGGTAGATGTTATCACGAATGAAAACAAAAAACCAAAAAAAAMAAAAAAAAAAAAAACCCAACGTGACGTGAAGGTGAAGCAAATATTACGTTAAGTAAAGAAATCGYAGACGTATTTATTTAGTACTATATACCATAATTGTAAGTCTGTTTTTCTTTAAGGTATGTTTACTTACGTTCCCAAGTTGGTCATCAGGCTATTTTTTGGATTTTTCATTTTGATTGTAGTATTGACATTGATAATCTTTGGGATATAAGCCATGCATACAAGGGATTATAACGGAGTAACAATGGTTGTGAGGAGAAAGGGAAAACACGATACTGAAATGCGAACCTTTGATGGTGTTTGCTGTGGTTGTGGTAAATTTGAAAACTTATTCTTTTGGAGTTTTGTTTCGAGTGTCGACCGAAAATGGCTTGTTTCGTTGTGTTCTTGAGAGTCAGTTAAATTCGAGCTTATTTTCCGTTTTGTTTCGTTCTTTTCCTATTTTTTCTTTCTTTTTTTTTCCATTGGTATTTGTACTGATATAATTGTAAACACCTGTGAAATCCGGAATAAGAAGACAGCAGCTACAACAGCAGCTGCATAACAACAACAACAATAATAACAAACGATTATTTTTTATGTACAAAAACCTACACTAATTTTAAATTAAGTACCGCGAAAGAAAGAAAGAAAAACTATAAGAAAAGAAATTGTTAATAATGATAACAATTACCTCGCATAAACACTAAGGTTTTAAATCCTATAGCATCCAGCTTTCAAAATTGAAAGCATCAATGGAACATGGAAATATCTTCCAAGAGTGATGATAGATCATTTCCGATGGCCCATAGACATCATCTCGAATGAAAGTTATTTGTTTGAAAAGGAACAACTTGACTTTCTTGACAAAAACAACTTCACTTGTTCCGACATCTGGATAACGAGTAATGGAAGTGCCTTAAAAACCATGTGCACAGAACTATTGTTTGCTTGTTAAAAATGGGAATCGAAAAAGCGATTTTAAAATGAGAACAATTCCTTGAAATCTTAAAATTCGATAAAAAAACGCAGTAGGTTTGCATTTTGATGGATTTTCTTAGGAATGGGAATGGAAAGGAATCATAAAGATTTTAAAATGAAGAAAAATTTCTCGAAATCTTAGAGGGAACATTCAAGCGAGTACAGTGACTAAGTCATGGCAATATCGTGTTTGTCCGAGCATGATAAGAGCAATCAATATCCCTCAGAATGATGCGAATGATTTATAATTTAATCATTAAGCGGACTAAAAATAAAAATAATAGTAATCTTCATTTCACCAGGTGAAAAAAAAAAAAAAAAAGCAACAAAGAGCAAAAAGCGACAAATTCAGCAAAAGTTTGGGATCTAAAAGATGAATTAAAAACTATATATATTTTTCGTTATGCTTGGTGTTAGGGCGCTTCCCATTAAGTCGAACCGACAAGTCCGAGCAGCCAGTTCTCAAACGGAGCGCCTCAGTTCTTATAAGTTTTTAGAACTCGGTCAACCAGTTCTATAGAACTGACGCGTACCATTTGAGAATTAGCCGCACTTAATGGAAAGCGCCCTTAGTTTTGATTGCGAAGCTAATAGCGGGACATAACAGTTTCAACGAGATTGAACTGCGCATGCACAGCCGTGGCTATATAGGTATATTATATTGCTTTTCAAGGACTACTGACCAGTAGATTTTCACTAATGAAAATTACTGAAAAATAATTTGTAAAAGAAATCAATTGTTATCGACCTTTGAAACAAACTTTGAGTTTCAAGTTTTATTGCTCTGGCATCTTGCAAAACTTTCTTGGCACAAAGTGCCACTGAAAGTAAAGTTTTTTTTCAACTCGTGCAGCTGAAACTAGTGCTTCTGGAAACCGACAATTCTTGCTCTCGGTTTCATAGCTATCTATTATAATTTCTTTTCTTACTGGACGCTTACAAACTGTCGTCTCCGAAGGTGCAACATCTTTAGCTTCCCCGGTTACCTCCGGTGTACCTCAAGGAGCTGTGTTAGGTCCTCTATAATTCCTGACATATGTAAACGATTCACCTAATGGTTTAAACTCCAAAGTTAAACTCTTTGCAGATGACACTTTTCTATACGGTATTGTTGTGGATGGTCCTGACTGCGACAAACTACAAGATGATCTTAACAAATTAGAACACTGGCAACCGATAGCAGATGGAATTCAATCCCTCAAAGTGTGAAAATATATGCATTTCAACAAAGCAAAAGCCCCCTCATCGGAAGTGTGGTTCTGAACTTGAGCAAGTCGACTCCATATGGTACTTAGGAGTTATTGTAAATAGTAAATTGAAATGGTCGCACCACACTCTTCAATCTCAAGCAATGGAAGCAAGACCTTGGGATTGATCAGAAGGAATCTTTGGAATTGCCCTTGGAACGTGCGTGAATCTGCATATATTTCTATTGTACGACCTAAATTAGAGTATGCAAGCGCCTTATGGGACCCACACTGCAAGAAAGATATGTCAACCTTAGAGAGAGTTCCAAGGAAGGCAGCCCTTTTCTGCCTCCAGAACTACAACCAAACAGCAAGCGTTACGAAAAAAAAACCAGACGGTCATTAATGTATAAATTAAGTCATAATCTAGTGGATATTGATTCAAGAGAATATTTAATACCAAACAATGAAACAAGAACTCGCAAAAGCCATTCATTTAAATATAGGATGCCAAACATTTCTAAGGATGTTTTTTTTAAAGTTTTCTTTCTTTCCTAGATCAATTTCATAATGGAATTCTTGGCAATTTAGGCTAAGTAGGTTCTTAACTAGTTTATTAATTTATATGAAGGAGATATAGTTGTTGATTAACAGAAAATACAAAAACTTGGTCCTGAACTTTATCATAAGCCAAACAAAACTGATTCCAGAATGTATATAACTCAAGGGCGGATCCAGGGTTTTTTTGAAGGGGGGGTCTCAGGGGTAAACTTTGTGGGCAAAGGAATCCCAGTTGCATTTTTACCACAGGAAGCCCATTTGACCTCAGGAATGACTCTCTATAGATATAGATATAGATATAGATATAGATGTGTGTGTGTGTGTG